TATCTAGGATACATGATCTAAAGTATAAATAGTTATTGTAAAACTTCAGAATAAATTTAAAATCAAACAAAGAACTTTTCACATTTTATATCTTTTAATAATTGTTGTACCATTAAATTTTGTACAATGCTATTCAGGCTACCAGAAAGAAAAAAAGAAAAGAAAGAAGGAACAATTATTTTTTATTAAACCAATAAAAGCTTTATACCTTTCCTCTATTATTTTGTTCATAAAATGTTGACTACTCTCAGGTCTTGCGTTAAAATCAAATAACAACGATTCAGGAGATTCACCAGCAACTTCAAATTCAATAGGAAGTATGGGTTTTCTACCAAACATTAACTCAAAGGGAGTGTATTTTATAGACTTCTGCCTTGACGTATTGTATGCAAAATTACATGCATCCAAATGAGTATCCCATGTACTGTGCCGGTCATTGCAAAACTTTACAAGCATTAACTGAATGGTTTGATTGAACCGCTCATCTAAGCCATTAGCCAAAAATAAAAAATGATTAAATCAAATATTTTTAACCAGACAGCAAATTATATGCAAACTCAATTCAGATTTGAAAACCTGTGGATGATAAGCTGTGGTAAACTGATGCTTCACATTTAGCAGTGACATAAGTTCCCTGTTTATTTGGTTGTAAAACTCTGTGCCCTGGTCAGAGGTAACAACTTTTGGTATACCCATCTGCATGAACAACTGAAATATTAAACATTTTTATATCATTGCAAACATAACAAATAAATTCACTGCAATCCAATAATATTATACATAAAGATAACATTTAAAGTTACCTTATATAATGCTATTGCAACACCACTGGCTAATTTTGATTTAAGGGGAAATGCAGCTACCCACTTTGTGCAATAATCAGAGATAGTGAGGATATGTTTATTTCCTGCAGATGTTTCAGGAAGTGGTCCTATTAAATCGATTCCAATATGAAACCATGGTGACTGAACTTTAATAGGATGCAGCTCTGGGCGAGTTTTTTCAAATCTTCGTATATTTGTATGCTGACACTGTTCACAGTTTTTAACTTATGTTATGCATAACTTCCATATTACAAATATGTTATATATTATAAATGTATATTTTTCACAAACAGAGTTGTCAATCACTGGAATAATTTGGATGATTCGACTAAGTTCCAGAAGAGTGTTAAAAGTTTTAAAAACAGTTTTTTTTTTGAAAAAAAAATCAAACTAAGATATAACAATTACAAATGACCGGCACTAAGCCTTTGATCTGCT